GGCAGCATTACTGGACGTACGACGTCTCCTTCCTACATGTCTCTCCGAGTGAATAATGAATGCCGAACCGGCCGGGTGGCTCCACGGTAGAGCGAGCGGCTCACGGATCAGAGGGCTGTGGAGTTCAACTCCTGTTTGGGAGTTGAATCAGCCCATCATCCCTCCCTCTGGGTGTCCTAAAAAATAGGTACCACATTGTGCCAGAAGTCAGTCATTGTCCTATGGTTAGGATTGCCCCCCCCCCGCCCTAGCCCCCCCAAAAGGATTGCGGAATTTCCACCACCAGAAGTGAGCACCAGCCTTGAACACGCTCATTTGAACAGAAACTCACTTTCACACAAAAATGAAAATTCAGGGGTGAAAGGAAAATTTTGCCCATTGAGGTCGCCTCTTATGTTTTTATTTCTTTATGTTCGGCGTGTTTCGGTTATATCCCTCTATCCCTTATTTAAAAGTAAAACTACCTTACCCCTTTTCAGTGGGACCCTGTCTGGTTTGTGGCAGCAAGTCCGTTCACAATCTCTCTATTACCTAAATTTCATCATAAAAAAAAATTGCGCAATGCCTCGGCCTTCTGGGAGAGCATCTTAGCAGCGGCACAATTTCAATAAAAGCTCGTGGCCTCCTGTGGTTCCTATACTTTATAGACTGATAACACCGCACACGTCTACACCCAAAAACACACCGGCTCAGCTACTCTGTGGCTGCCACGATCACCTGCTTCCCAAAACCATTCTCAGTTCACCAAAAAAGCTTGCTTTGTTCACATGCCCAATGCTTTGCCAAGCATGTGATGAATATTGCATGCTGGTGTCCAACTTGGACTACATTAGTCAATCGCATTGAGACACACACGTAATATATGTGCACGCAAAGATAAAGAGTGCCAGCATAGCCATACAGACGATGCAAATCTAGTGCCTAGGACCGAATAGCCTGTGGCGTAAGCGTTAGTGGCGAGTGCATTGCACTATGAACCCAGCTCTATCGGAATTCGAGTCTCCACCGTGGTCAGCCGAGAGAGATATGTGATCCGGTCTCGGACTTCACCTGGGTCCCTTAAGTCCACATTGATTAACCAGGTGCAGTGAACATCAGTACCGGAGAGATGTGGCCAGGCGTAGTGCTGCTCACACCACCCACCTCGTGTGCCATGCTGGCCTTAAGAGGTGCTCGCGGAAAAAAAAAAACAGACGAAGAACATCCCCCCTATAGAACAAAGACAAAGACCCCCCCCCCCCCCCCCATATAGCCTTGAACTGAATGTTGGGGCATGTTCTGTTAGGGCACACCTATGAAGGCTGGCACAGCACACGAGGGGTGGGTGACCAGCATCACACCCAGTTACCTTTGTCTCCCCAGTGGCGATGTTTACACATCGCACCAGGTACTCAATTGAGGCCGAGTCGCCCGAGGGGAGGCCCAAGACAGGTTAATATAATCGTGAGTGGGAATTTAATTCGGGTCGCTTCCGACTGCCGCAGCCTGCGTGAGGCCTCCTCTCGCATGCAGCTCAACAAGGCACCTGCAGGAGGCAGTTCAGCAAGTAGGTTCACGGTCTCCTCCATCCCCATTGATTTGTCCTCTCAGCTCTCCTCCGGGATGTTCAGGAAACGGTTCAGACATTCGTCACCTGTTATTGGTCGGAAGTGAGAATAGAACTCTGGTTCCCTAGTTTGGGGCGCAGTGCACCAACCACACTCCTGAGCGCGTGTTACCTGCGTTATTGGCCTATAGCCCACACACAATCACGTACGAATGCACGCACGCACGCCTCCATGGTAAATATTCCAAGCAGCCTGGAGCGCCGACTCGGCTGAGTTATCTGGACGCAGATCAAACGGCCAGGGCTCGTGATGCCTACCTGCGGCACAGCCAAGAGTCCCCGTGCAGAGCCAGAGGCTGCCAAAGGTGCAGCAGGCGGTGCGGCTCCGTCGCTCGTCTCGACCGCGGCCACCGTTCCTCCCCTCTTGCTGCGTGCTCCGCCTCTCATGCCAGATTACATCCCAGTCGGCCCTCAACAGCCACCCTGGGTGCACGCGCTTTCACGCACTTTATGGTTGCGTCCCTCCGACAGGCATATCTTCAATTGTTTGGAGATATTGCTGTAGATATTGCGATGATGTAACGATCCCTCCAGCCGCCCAGCACCCGCACACCGACCGATTCCATCGCTTCATCCCCTTCCCGATGGGACAGCCCCTCGGAAGCATTCCTTTCATCGCTCGTACCAAGATTTTATCAAGCGAGTCGCATCCCTCTGCACCTTCCCGTGTCAGCGACGGTCACCTCTTCCACGACGTCAGCCCAGCGTAGGCCAAAAACACCCAGGGGCGCTTTAGGTCTCCCTCTAGCGGAAGGCCCTTCTGCCCGTGAAGGCACGAGCAGGGAATTCGCATGGCTGGCGCATTTACCTGTTCCCTTTCACGGCCGCAGCCATTAAATCTCCAACTGGGCACTGCGACTGGATCGCCGGTGGTGCTTATAACAAAGTCCTTGTGTGCACGGTGAACAATGGCGTCTGTGTCGCCGGCTGCCAGCTCGCTGTGCGAGCGAGGTCCTGGGACAACGGATGAGTGGCCCCCACTCGCTGTCCCACGACACCTCGCCAGGAATCCCTCGTGTGAAAATGTTTCAAAGCGCTTTTTTTTATATAGTTGGCCCACATTTTGATAGACGTTACGCAAGAAGGCCGTGACATTGTACGATGAACAGCGGCGCATTACAAACTGTAAAGTAAGCATGTTCGGCAACTTTGTTAATCTCTACTGCTGGATGAAGACCTCCCTCCGCATGCCGAATCGGATGTGGGAATTGTTGAAATATACTTCACTACACTGGTCGGTGATGGGGGAGGCAGGACCAGTTCAAATATTCCAATCGCCACCGACATTAGACATAATCGAGAATCTAACCCAGGTCGCCGGGTTCATAGTGCAGTATGCCAACCATTGCACCATTTTTCTATCCTCCTGTTCGTATTAACATCAAAGTAAAAGCATTCACGTCTGTGATTTGCAAATTATATAATTATAATGGTAATGTATGCCATACACAAAACGACTGCATAGCCAGGTCCAGGTAACGTCATGCCAGGTGACCATGAGCCTGTGCCTACCCGAGTGGCTTTTAGCAGTTCGTCGCTGTGCAGCTGCGTTTTCGGGTCGACCTGCCGGCTGTTCCGCAAGCCGTCGACGTTCCGCTCAATGTGCTGGGGAGCTTGGTCAGAGCCAGCGATTAAAAACTCTGCATCCATGGCAGGGGTTAGCGTCTCCAATGGGTGACCATTTTCGACTTCCCACACAAAGCGATGGCCATTTTATGAACCCTGGAGGGATAATGTGTTCGAGTTCATCCGCCGATCGGGATTTGAACGAGACCCCTCCGGATTGCAGGCCAAGCGCCAGCTGGCGAGCGTGACCCCGCGCAGCGTCAATGCATCGCGCTCCGCGTGCCTTCACGAGGGACGCATGGCAGGGAACGGCACTCCACAGAGCCCCCCCCCCTGATCCTGAGTCTTGGTAATGAGAGCATCGCAGTACACTGAGATTACACGGCCGAGATGCGGGGATTGTGACTTAGAGTCACATCATGTTACGTCTGTGGGCTGGATTACACTCCCGGCCATGTGCGGTTGATTGGCTTTGATGGCCTCGCAGAGTCTTGCAAGTTTTCCCATGAGGATAACATTCATGGTACTGTATGTACATTACAACACCGTCTCGGTTTACCGTGCAATACTGGATGCGTCGTCATGGCCCAGACACAACCACGCCGCTCATCCGACGTAAATCCCGTACGGATGCTTGGGGGCTGTGCATTGTCGATGCACAGCACTATTGTCAATCCACTGCTGCGAGTTGTGGGGGTGATTCGACCGTACTTCACCACGCTTTTGGGGCGGAGCGGTAGCGGTCCCGTGGTTGGCACGCTGCACTCACGAGGGGGGAGTTTCCACCACCGCCCTGATGGGGCCTGCCGCAGGACATGAGGGACAGAGGTCGCAACTGGGTACCCGATACCCGTACCCTACCCGATACCCGGCTACCCGTACCCGGCCGGGTACGGGTACCCATTTGAGACCCTGGTGCGGCCGGGTATGGGTAGACCGTGAGTCACTCATTTCCCAACGTCTTGTCTCTTCTCACAATTCAAGTTCCTAGAAACAACCGACCCGCGCCTGCAACATGGCTTCATCCCAGAGGTCGCAATCGGGTACCCGATACTCGTACCCATACCCGATACCCGGCCGGGTACGGGTAGGGTACGGGTACCCGGTTGCGACCCTGGTGCGGCCGGGTACGGGTAAGGAATCAAAACCCGTTTGCGACCTCTGATGAGGGAGCACTGCCCCACGCTCGGGCGAGCAGGGAGACGCGGCCCCTCGGCGCTGTGCAAAGCCGCAGCTTTAAGGACCACTTGCTCACCGCCTTTGGACAGTCAGCCTAGATTAATCCACTGCTGCACGTGGGCCTCCCCAATACACAATTTCTTTAAAACTGCTTTTAGTGTTTAGTTTGTCGTCCTTCCCTCGCATCTCCGATTAGCCCGATTGGCTTTGTACGGTGCAAAAGAAGTTCAGCAAACGTAAATACATCACCATTCCTCACGATTGTTCGATGCAACAATCCACCTAGAGCCAGCATTGCGCAAGCCAATTGCATCGCTCCATCTCCTCGGCGGTTCTACTCTCCGACACGTTTCGCTCCTCGGCGGCCACCACCTCACACTACTGCTGACCATCAGCCATCATCCACTTAACGCATCCTGCCCAGGCCCACTTACTTCCGGCAGTTTGAACGACGTAATCAATCCTGAGCACGTTCTCCAATTTACGCGCCCCCCCCCCTTTCCGTTTTCACAATGGCATTCCAGGCATGGACTTCCCCCTAACTGTCTGTGCACTTTTCGTCACTTTCGTAACAAACGGAACAACGTTCGCGACCCCGTCCCGTAAAGCGCGTGTCACCACGGAGCGGCCCGTGGAGAGGGGGACTCACCGCGCCCGATCTGCACGAAGCCCAGCACGATGATGACCCCGAGCGCCAGCAGCTTGGCCGCAGCAAAGAAATCTTGGACTCGCGTGGCCGCCTTCACGCTGTAGCTGTTCACGATCGTCAGCGTCACTGCAGCCGCACGCACGGAGCGGACAAGGGACGGGGACAACCGCTCGCACCGTGAACGCCGATTGGCACGCAGACCCGCTCGGCCCCCGCCAGCGACACTCGCAACGGCACTTCGCAGGTCTCCGAGGCCCTCTCGGATCGCGCCGCGTGTTGTTCTGCACAATGTCCGACGTTTCGCTCCACCTGCTCACGGCCAGCTGCCCCCCTACTCAGAGCATCCAATTGTCCACAAATCCACAGACAACCAAGTCCTCCAATCATACGAGCAGCACGTGAACCGCGAGGCTGTCCGTGAGAAACACGTCAATCGCAATAATACGTTTAGCTTATCAACACAACACATGCTAGTACCATACAAACACTGCGTAGACTTATGTGCATACTATCCATAAAACCAGGACTTAATTAGCCGTACCTGGCACACCAACATCCAGTTTGGCCCCCTCGCTATCGTCCGTGGCTGGTAGTCACGTGGCACATACTCCAGTTTCCCAGCGGCCGGGAAGGTATTTAAGAAGCTAATCCGCCTGCACAATTACCGTGGCTGGCACGCTCGCGTTGCTGCAGCCTACGTGAAGACAAGAGCACGGAGAGGATCTCGGGCGTTCCACCACCTGAGGCACCAACGCCATCGTACTGCGGGACCCTCCCTTGCTTATTATTTCTATAATCCTCCAAGCTCCACCGGGGGGCCCTTCTGATGGTCACAAAAAATATAAAGACCCCCCCCCCCCCATCATCCCGTATAGCCTTTACCGGACTGTTAGGGCGAGTGCCGTTAGCGAGCAACCCATGAAGGCCGGCACGGCACACGAGGGGGTAGTGTGGCAAGCACCACGCCCGATCGCCTTTGTCTCCCTAGTCGCAATGTTTACACATCACACTGGGACTCATTTGAGGCCGAGTCGACCTAGGGGAGGCCCAAGACTAGCTCCGATAGTCAGTGATGTTGGTCGTGAGGGGGAATCAAAATCATAATCAGAATATTTATTTATACCGACGGAAATCCGATGAGCTTTCAAGCTCTTTTTCACCGATGTCCAGTAGAATCGTGTCACCAGCTTCGTAGTGCAGCGTGCTAAATCACTACACTTTCGCCACACTACACGCACTCATACGCACGCTATCTGCACGATGACATGACTGACACACTCACTGACGGGATTGCATATTGAGTTGCGATCACGCCCGATAGTAAAAAAAAATCAAAACACAGTTTCGCTGGGTGGAACAGCTGGCAACGACCTAACGACTGATTGCACGGTGCGATAATGATGCAACAAGGGTGGCACAGTCAGCAGCCCTGCATGGTAGGGCACCACATCCCTTCAACTGCGCCAAAACGGCATCTGCGAATCGAGGGCTCAAGTGAGAATTCGGGGCCGTCGTAAGACAAGGCTGCCAAGTTTCAAAACTATGTTTTAACGTTCGGTGTCGAGCGGTAATTAGTGCCTGTGGGAACACGGCGATGGTAATTAAACGGGGCTGACGAGGCGCCAAACATTGACAAAGAAATTACAGGTTTCGCTTTGTCATCAGAGTATCTCGCAGGACCATTCAGAGACCCTGCGTTCTATTCCAAGTGTCGCAGAGAGCCACCGGGCACTTGGACTCATATGATCCTTCCGTGCTGACAACAAGGATTTGTATCCCCTTACATGGCCACACGTCACACCACCGTGCTGTTAAAATAGCCTCCAAAAAAAAAAGACCCTCAGAACATTTTTGGTCATCACTTTAACCACCGATAGAGCTTTGTGGTTCATAATTATTCTAATTTAATTGTGAAGCTATTCATAATTGAATTTTGGATTAGGCCAACTCATGGCAGAGCCGATTTCAATTATAATTCAAAAATCAATTATGAATATAATTTTAGCTGCTGCGAAAGCCTACATGTCAGACTATACCGTTTGCTTTGGTAATTTGAGAACTTAGCAGCAGAGCCGTGACATGGCCCAGTAGCAATTGCTAAAGAATTGCTTTAAAGATGACGAGACACCGTCGGTGACGTTATCAAACTCTGATTCTCCTTGCCATCGGAAATTACTGAAGTGTCACTCGAGCGTGAGCCGAGCGCGAACGAAACCTCTCGTGACGCCCTTCACTCGGCCAGCTGCGGCCGTCGAGGGCGGAGGTTACAGACGTTGGAACGCTGCTCAGAAACAGGAAAGTGAAAAAAATCCAACCAACAAGGAACACAACAGAATTCGACGGGATTCACACGTTTTCAGGGCGCAAATAGCACAAACGAAACGCGTCCGTCGATGCGGCCAACCCAACACGGAGAGGCTTTAATTGGACTTCTTGGTCAGGCCAGCTGCAAAGAAGCCGAGGCTGCCCCGCGATGTCATTTGAGCAGCCAGAGACCGATTGGTGTGGAGACGTGCAGCTCGTCGAGCTAGTGTCATCACCCTCCAGGGGCACGGTGACGCTGATAATGGCGCGGTGGCTCGGTGTGTGGCCATGAGATCTCAAGATCTACAAATGCCAGCTAAGGGCAGCACTGTATTGTGGTAAACGGCCCAAAGCAGCGTATCAATATCGCGCGCACATTTCCTTGAACTCGACAGTGTTCGGGTGCTGCTGCTGCTGCTGTTGTTGCGAATCAGTCTGCACACTGGGCTTGCCAACCAGCAGTCCGCCAGGTCTATTGATTTCCCGGCTCTGCAGTTGAAACAATGGGGAAAAGTTTCTCGAACAGTGCCCCCTCCGCCCGCCCCCACCACCTCTGTCCACCACCCAGCAGCATAAATTGCTACACCGCCGTTCGGCAATCTTAAGGTCACGTAAGGTGGCTTAAAGCGTGGTTTACTTCCACATCTTCCAACGCGTTAGGCCAGCGGGGAAGAATCGGCAAAACACCCTCCAGGGGCCCCCTTCTGCCAGCAATTGCACGTGAGCGAGCGATTGCAGGGCTGCGCCTTTACCGTTTTTTTGCTTACCTCTACCATACTTTTCGGTTCACCCTCGTCTCTCATCCGCTCTACGCTCCCTTCGTGCACCAGGAGCTGTTTATGGCCGTACGGAATATATATATGTCTGGATCCAGTCCACGTGAAAATTTGTCTCGAAGCCCCGAGAGGGAAGGGGGGGGCTTCCTTGTTTTGGTCGCTCAAGCGACACACTCCAGGAACAACGTTAAGCAATTCCGTAAACACCCGCTGCTGGCGTGTGGACTGCCAAGACCACGTGGCATCAGTCACACAGCGGCAATCTTTTATCCGTGCCATGTCCGAGTGCTTTTCATAAAAATGGAACAGAGCCGTGCATACACGTGGGTTACGTAACGCTTTCAAACACGCATTTGCACTCGGTAATACTTTTTCTCGCGATACTGATTACTAAGTACTTTTGAGGTAAAACAGAAGTTTGGGATGTAACGTTTGCGATGTAGAGCAGGGGACGAGAGGGGATATGAAAATAATAGGTACAGGTGCAACGCTGACGTTTCTTGCTCATGCCACTGCTGGTAGAAGGGAGAGCTCTAGGGTGTATATCACTGACCCTTCTACGCTGGCCAAACGACTTGGAAAGAGGTGGGACTACCCACACTTTACCCCACCGCCTGCGATTTGCCGGCCCACTGCGGTGGACCCATTATTCCCCAACTACGCTGTTGGGTGGGGGCCGAATTCATAAACTTGCGCCGTCATTCCAACAGCCGCGCAGGGAGATTGAAACCGGCGGCCTCTGGGCAACACGGGGGCGGGGGGGGGAAGAAGGGCGGGGGGGGCGAGGACTCACTGACGCAGAGGCAGGCCACGAGCTTGGCGGCCACGGTGGGCACCGAGGTGCACGCAAACAGCGGCTTGATGATGTAGGTGGCGAAGACGAACGCCACGATGTACTGCGACGAGGGCCGGATGATGAGCAGCTCGATCCAGAGCTTGAGGAAGGCGACGAGCGGGCCGTACACCTCCAGGATGTAGGCGTAGTCGCCGCCCGACTTGCTGATGGTGGTGCCCAGCTCGGCGTAGCAGAGCGCGCCCACCGTGGAGAAGAGGCCGCACACGGCCCACACGATGAGCGAGAGGCCCACCGAGCCCGCCTCCTTCACCACGCCCGTGGGCGTGACGAAGATTCCCGAGCCGATAATGGTGCCCACGATGATGGCGACGCCGTTGGTGAGCGTGATGGTGCGCTTGAGCTCCACCGTGGGATCGCCGCCCGGCCCGCACACCACCGCCCCGCCGCCGTCGCCGCCGTCGTGCGGCAGCATCGTCTTGCCGGCGTGGGGGTCGTCGCACGGTGACGACGAGGAGGAGCCCCTCTTCTTCACGTCCGTCATGGCGCCGAGGAGCGCCGCTCGTTTAGGATCTGCGTGGGAGCGATATGAATGCGGTTAAGATTTGAAAATAATCTATCGACCGGTCAACTTTAATCGCGATGGCTGGTGGCGGCGGCTTGTGGAGGCCTTCATCCAGCAGTGGATTGATGATGGATGACGATGAGTAACAAGGTAGGAGCCCTTGGTTGCCTGTCATGGTGCAATTGGTAGGACGCGAGGCAATGCACAGGTCGCCGGTTCGATCTCCCGGCGCGGCAGTTTAAACAATGCCCCCCACCCTCCCCCCTAACCAGCAGGATAAACGGGTGAACCACATCTTCTTGGTTCTTTCGGTAAAGTCACGTAGAATGGAAATAATAAAATAATAAAAATTTAACATAATAAAATAATTCTCACGACGTTTCGGCCACAACGCAAGCAGCCGTCCTCAGGTGAAGAACAGGTCTGTCAGACGCTGTCTTTCTGACAGACCTGTTCTTCACATGAGGACGGCTTTTTGCGTTGTGGCCGAAATGTCGTGAGAATTATTTAATTGTTAAATTTTTATTATTTTATTATTTACATTCTACGTGACTTTACCGAAAGAACCAAGAAGATGAATCCCTGCAGTCACGAAAGCTTTAAATCGAAATTTTATTATGTTTTATTTTTATTATTTTCCTTCTACGTGACTTTACCGAAAGAACCAAGAAGATGAATCCCTGCAGTCACGAAAGCTTTAAAGGGTGAACCGCAGTTGGTCAATAGACAGTTCGCTTTGCAGTGGGGGGGGGGGGGGGGGGAACTACCTGGGGGTTTTCGGGCCCTGTCAAGTTCAACGATGGCATCAGTCACATTTTTCGCTAAAAATATTCCCTTCGACCTGGGAATTCTCAAAGGTCAACCTCAGGTGATAAATGTTACGAATGGGCTCAACTTAGAAGCCACCGCTGTGCGTAGTACCCCGTTAACACTCGTCGCGAAGGAGGGGATTTCAATAAAACCCCGAATGAACCTTTAATTTTCAACGAATCTCGAAAAGCCAAAAACTTTAAGGCACGTGACTTTAGACTCCATGCGCTCTCCTGGCAGCTTCATCAACACCCCGTTCTTTACTTGTCAACTCCAGAGGCCACCGGTTGAGACTGCCACCTGCATCCTTTCAATGCTGATGATGCTGCTGCTGCTACAGCTGCTGCATATGAGAATGTAGTTGCAGCTCAATGAGGTCAAGGGATAGACCCAAGTGCCATGGGTTGAGTGAAGCCGACACAAACACACGTGGTTGGTTTACTGCGTGTACCACTACGCCAGAGAGCCAATACAGACAAGAAGTTGCATCAGTGGAAAAAAAAAACCTTCACACACGTGAATGGCTGTTGCAAGACGATTCAAAAGGCAATTCATGCGCGCGTGCCGGATACAAAAACAAGTAAAACAGGTTTTTAAAAGGTAAATGTACAGTCTTCATTCGAGTAAAGCACTTTATTAACAATGAATCATCATCAGTCATGATCAATCCACCGCTGGATGAAGGCCTCAAAGTTGTTGCCATCTCTCACGATCCTGCGATAAAAAGTTCCAACCAGCACTTGCTGCACAAGAGCAGATTTCATGACTCCATCTCCACGGTAGACGCACCTCTCAGATGCATTCCCTTGCTTGGATGCCACACTCTTCATGACAGTCAACCATAATGTAATGAAATACTATAACACGTATAAAATGGCAGCGTTAACAGTGGTTATCCTAAATATGGACTGCACCCCACCATAGCGATGTGGAATTTCGACCACTTCTCAGGACTGCCAATGGAAATTACGCACCATGGAGCAGACACAAATTTGACTTTGTTACGCACGCGCAACCAAAGATTACGAAACACGAGTTTAGCCAACACGATAGCCAACCCTCTAGGCCACAGAAGAGAAAGTTAAAGTAAGCTGGCGAGGGTGTGGGAAGTAAGGTGGCGAGTGGCTGGTCTAACGGGAGGGAATGATGCCACCTTGGATCGTGAAAAGGCACGACTCGGTTTGGCAAACGGCACGGAGCAGGCAGGCACGACGCATGGCACGCACGAAGCACATCGTGGACACCGGGACTGGACTCGCTCCTCAGTGCACGCAATCTGGACTCGCACATCGCACTTTGTTCTTTGCTCAGCTGGCAAACACATATTCCATAAGAGCACTTGTGTGATGTTGGGTAAATGCCAGCGTTTTTAGTTGAGAGTGAAATTAAACCCAGGCTGGGATGAGAATAAAAGTAATGTCATATTATAACTATCACATCATGACTTGATATTTGCTTTACAATATACCGGGTAACAACAATTATAGCATATGTTACTCGTGCTGATTTTTTAATCCATGAATTAGAGTTAAATATCGACTCGGATCATCATCCCTTTGGGGCAGATACAATGAGTACCTCTCATGGGGTAGTCATGGGTCCTTGTCCGAATTGATCAGAATGTGTCAGTTTCTAACACCAACCCAGCACTGCTTTACAATTACAGTAGTCAACAGGAAAACCGTTTTGAGTCCATTTATACGGCAACAGCTTGATAAAAAAAATCAACATTAAACTCAGCATTGAGCAGAGCACAATTGAGATCTCGGGTTGGAGAACAGATTTGGACTATATATTCTTAGGTTTTTTCGGTAAAGTCACGTAGGTAAAACATTAAAATTAATAAAAGTAAAATAAAATAAATATCACGACGTTTCGGAGGCAACACAAGTCTCCGTCATCAGGTGGGACCGTCACAGCCAGATTTGCTTGATGCAGCAAAACGTCGTGATTTTTATTTTATTTAACTTTTATTAATTTTAATGTTTTACCTACGTGACTTTACCGAAAAAAAACTAAGAACATGAATCCTTGCAGTCACGAAAGCTTCAAATCTTGAATTAAGATTTGGACTACACCTTGAGAAAACATTGCCAACCCCAATTACCCAGATGTGGGGGGGGGGGGGCCCACAATCAGCATTGTTCAACAGTCACCTTCACTCTGCCTTAGTCACCTATTGCTGTCCACGCCGCGAAACAAGAAATTGTCTTCACATTCACTGCCACCGTTGCGTTACCACTGCAGATACATTGCTGTGTACTGTAATTAAGCCAGTTTCCAATACACAAATCTTTAAAACTTCCCTTTAGCCCACAGTGCTGGATGTTTACTCAGGTTGTTCAATTCCATACACGGCGCATTCGGATGACATGCACCTTACTAAATGTGATTGTTCGAATATGGGAAATGATCGCACGCTTTTATAGAACTAATAACAACTGCTGCGTGAAACAACATCAACCCAAGAAGAACAACACTTCGAGGAATGCGTTTGCAGTGGTGTAAACATCTGTACGATAACAACACTATTCATCTATTCACGATAGTGAACCACGTGTAGAGAGAAAACTGGTTCCACCACACGCCCTGCCTGTCACACAGGCGAGCGGCACAAGCCAGAGAGAATTTAAGCTGTGTTCGCAAACACCACCGCACTTCATGGAACCTCCTTGGCCATGGGACCTCCTTTGCCAGTACCAAAATATGAGAATAAGTTTTCCCCTTTTTTCTGGCAACAAAACAGCTGTGTTCAGATGTTAAAACATTAAACTAAATCCTTTTACAAGGAACCATGTCTGCATTAACCACAAAACTTGTGGTCAGAATGCAAACCAAAAAACACACTCTGATAATATAACATATGTTAAAATGCCAAACTGAATAATCCTTTTACAAGGAACCATGTCTGCATTAACCACAATAGTTGTGGTCAGAATGCAAACCAAAAAACACACTCTGATAATATAATATATGTTAAAACGCCAAACTGAATAATCCTTTTACAAGGAACCATGTCTGCATTAACCACAATAGTTGTGGTCAGAATGCAAACCAAAAAACACACTCTGATAATATAATATATGTTAAAACGCCAAACTGAATAATCCTTTTACAAGGAACCATGTCTGCATTAACCACAATAGTTGTGGTCAGAATGCAAACCAAAAAACACACTCTGATAATATAATATATGTTAAAACGCCAAACTGAATAATCCTTTTACAAGGAACCATGTCTGCATTAACCACAATAGTTGTGGTCAGAATGCAAACAAAAAACACACTTTGATAATATAATATATGTTAAAACGCCAAACTGAATAATCCTTTTACAAGGAACCATGTCTGCATTAACCACAATAGTTGTGGTCAGAATGCAAACCAAAAAACACACTCTGATAATATAATATATGTTAAAACGCCAAACTGAATAATCCTTTTACAAGGAACCATGTCTGCATTAACCACAATAGTTGTGGTCAGAATGCAAACCAAAAAACACACTCTGATAATATAATATATGTTAAAACGCCAAACTGAATAATCCTTTTACAAGGAACCATGTCTGCATTAACCACAATAGTTGTGGTCAGAATGCAAACAAAAAACACACTTTGATTATATAATATATGTTAAAACGCCAAACTGAATAATCCTTTTACAAGGAACCATGTCTGCATTAACCACAATAGTTGTGGTCAGAATGCAAACCAAAAAACACACTCTGATAATATAATATATGTTAAAACGCCAAACTGAATAATCCTTTTACAAGGAACCATGTCTGCATTAACCACAATAGTTGTGGTCAGAATGCAAACCAAAAAACACACTCTGATAATATAATACCACCACACAATTCTACTCACTGAAGGTGTCTCTCCCCATGTGGCACCTTGTCATTTCCATAGGGCACAGGCACGCACACAGAGAACTTCACCAGGCACACACACACACACAAACCCATTATCCCCAGCGTTTTTCAACCACGTCGACACATCAATAGCTGGTCGGGCAGCATTAGAGCCTGTGTGTGTACACATACATTGATTTAATCCCATTGTTTGCGCTATTAGATAAATGTCATCGAGGGCCATATACACACACGCACATACTCGCAACCACTCTATAGGCCACTTGACTCGGCTGGTTCGGGTAGCCTGTAGTTCTTCCGACTATAATCGGCTATTAAATTATCCATTGAAGATTCATTCAAGTGAACGACACGCAGAGCACTGCGATGCATTTCATTTGGACAGCTTCGCAGTCCAGCGGCGATGAATGAACGCTCCATGTAAGATTCCAATCGAGTAGTTTGCAATTATTTCCACCTCTCCCCCCCCCCACCAAACATCTGCTCTGATTAAGTGTTATTGCACGAAACGTCACCTTCACGAATATAGTTTCATATTCTTGGTTCTTTCGGTAGTCACGTAGAAGGGAAATAATAAAATAATAGTAATATAAAATAATATTAATATAAAATAATATTCATATAAAATAATATATATAAAATAATATGAATATAAAACAATAAAAATTCTCACGACGTTTCGACTGCAACACAAGCAATCACCATCAGGTGTGAAATCCACAGCAAGAAACATTTAAAAATTTCTTTATTATTCAGTCGAAACGTGAGAATTTTATTATTTTATTATTTTCTTATTTCCCTTCTACGTGACTTTACCGAAAGAACCAAGAATATGAATCCCTGCAGTCACGAAAGCTTTAAATAAAAAACCAATCGTTTCATTCTGAAGTTGCTCACACGCACACGTGCGTGTAGTAGCGTACTGTACACGTGTGACGTTGTCACGTTGCCGCCACGTGGAAGCAAGATGTGATGATACCACTAATACTACATCTTACATCATCTCACCAACATCAGCTCTGACAATCTTCACCATCATCATCTCCCCCCCACCCCCCTCGATTAAAGAACCCCGCGGAGATTCGCTCAAGACGCCGCTAATGCCCGCGCCTGCGTGGCGAGGAAGACGCCGCGGGTTCACTACCCACGTGGCTTCGCAAGGCCCAAGTCATCATCATCATCATCCACATCACTGCATGGACTATACACAAGACAAAGATCCCCCGTATAGCCTGAACAGACTGTAGGGGCAAGTGCTGTTAGCGAGCACCTATGAAGGCCGGAACGGTACACGAGGGGGTGGGTGGCCAGCACCACGCCCGACCGCCTTTGTCTCCCTAGTGGCGATGTTTACACACCGCACCAGGTACTCATTTAAGGCTGAGTCGACCTAGGGGAGGCCCAGGACCGGTTCAGATAATCGTCACTGGTGTTAGCCGTGAGCGGGAATCGAACCCGGGTCGCCAGGTTCATAGCGCAGCGCGCTAACCGCTACACTACCGCTCCCCACTATACACAAGGCACACACACACACATGCAACCACATATGCCCACATGCACACACACACGCACACGTGCACACACACACACACACCAACAGGAGGGACAGACTGTTGGGGTAAGTGCTGCTTGCGAGCACCGAATTGCAGGCCGTAGTGGGGGCAGCACCAAACAACGCAGGCCGCCATCGTCTCCACACACACACCACGTTGCCTGCCCCCCCCAACAACAACAACACCACCACGTTGCCTGCCCCCCCCCCCCCAACAACAACACCACGTTGCCTGCCCCCCCCAACAACAACAACACCACCACGTTGCCTGCCCCCCCCCACACACACACCACGTTGCCTGCCCCCCCACACACACACCACGTTGCCTGCCCCCCCACACACACACCACGTTGCCTGCCCCCCCCCTAACAACAACACCACGTTGCCTGCCCCCACACACACACCACGTTGCCTGCCCCCCCCCCCCAACAACACCACGTTGCCTGCCCCCCCCCCAACAACACCACGTTTCCTGCCCCCCCAACAACAACACCACGTTGCCTACCCCCCCCCCAACAACACCACGTTGCCTGCCCCCCCACACACACCACGTTGCCTGCCCCCTCCCCAACAACACCACGTTGCCTGCCCCCCCCCCCCCAACAACACCACGTTGCCTGCCCCCCCCCCAACAACACCACGTTGCCTGCCCCCCCACACACACCACGTTGCCTGCCCCCTCCCCAACAACACCACGTTGCCTGCCCCCCCCCCCAACAACACCACCACGTTGCCTGCCCCCCCCCCAACAACAACACCACGTTGCCTGCCCCCCCCCCCCAACAACACCACCAAGACACACTCACAGGTGTGTTAACACACACGCGATATCATCACCGATGCAACGCGTTTATTATTCCCGATCTGATGACACCAGCAGCAGCATCAGCATCAGCTGTCCACGGCATCTTTGGCACTCACCACGCAATGAATGGAAGGGTCCCAGCAGTTGTGAGTTGACCGCTCTCTCTCTCTCTCTGATCGGCGTTGGTGGTGATGATGATGATGGTGAAGAGGAGAGATCCCTTCCACCCCCGGCTTTATATCGACTCTCTCCCGCTCACGTCCCCCTAGCCGTGGGTGGGTGGGGGAGGGAGGGAGGCGAGCGGGTAGGGCAGCAGGAGGAGGGGGGGGGGTGCTGATTTCCTCCGGCCCCGAGCCTATGAACGATGTGGTGGTGGCCACTCGGCACACACAAAGATCCCTCTCCCCTCCTCCTCCTCCTGTCTGTCGCCTCGATTAGCAGCAGCAGAACCTCTGCAGCTAACGAGTTGGAGACCTCTGGGGGGGGGGGTGGCCGGCACCCACGCCCGACCGTCTTTGTTTCCCACCCCCCCCCCCCTACACTACACCACAACGCAGCAGACTTAGTGGATTTGAGACCCCCAGCATCGGTTTTCGAAATCATCGTCGCTGGCGTTGGCCGTGAGCTGAAGTCGAACTCGTGGGGGGCTCGTTCTGCGGCGTCGTGAGAGTAAGAGAGAGAAGGGGGGTACGTTGTGTTGTGTTATGGGCAGTGAGTGAAGCCCCAACTGTGTGTGTGTGGATGATGCCCCTGGTGGAAAAAATGAAAAACGCAAACCCCTTAATTACACTCGGCTAAAGAGGGCACGAGACCGACCGTGCAGAACCGTGTTCCCGTTGTGTGCAACGCAGAGTAATGGGCAATGTGCCCGAGAACGCCGCGTTGCTATGAATATGCACGTGTTGAGATTGTTGGGGGGACGCTCACAAGATTCAGAATCTTTATTTATGCTGGAGGAATCCGATGAGCTATTAAGCTTTTTTTTTTCTCAGATGAGTTGTGAGGATAGGGATATAAACTAGTACGGCATATGTAGACTCCTACAGTATGCTGTATGCTGCCAATACCATCACTATTAATGTTATAACGCTAGTTTACCCAGGAAAGCCTCTCTGAGTCTCAAGATGTGTTGTCTGCTGATGTGTACAATACAACTTGAGTTCATTTGTATGCCACTTTTCAGCACTGGGTTGTTTTCACCGATTGTATCCTGTAGATATATTGCTTTTTTTAAAAAATTTTATTCTGGGAGGAAACCGGAAAACTCACAGAAAACCACCAGAGATGAAGGATAAAACAGAGTTTACACAGAAAGTCACCAGAGTTGGGAATTGAACCCATGCTACCCTTGCTGTGATGCACAAATGTTACCACTGAGCGCACAATATTAGACAGCTGGTGCATCATCATACCCTGCAGTTTTGTAAAACGTCTCTTATGGAAATGGTTAATTCTGTTAGACACAAATTTAAACAATTATACACGCAGTGCTTTTTACGAATGCAAAGTCTTAATTACGATTCTGCAAATATGAAAAACCTGCCTCGTATACAAACAGCAGGGGTGATAGTGGAGGGACTGATCCCGGCCATAGGAATGTGGAATTTACACAACTGCCGACAAATATTACCCCTCCCCATTACTTAAATCTTAAATGCTAGTTGTGGCAGATACTTTTTAACTTTTATTTGTATTTTCAGTACTGTCAGAGTGGTTAGCGCACTGCACAACGAGTCTGGCGAGATGGGTTTTAATACCAAGACTCCATGACCAACAATCAGCACTGACCAGCATGATGAAGTATGGTCAAACTACCCTCATGACCAACATAGGGAAGGAGGGAGGGGTGTTCCCGAAGCCTTTTAAACAGAACCCTGCATTAGTGCAATTATACTGTCAACAATATGGGGAGAGGGGGGTTAGGTTCCCGTGTCAGATTGAACATCGGGAGGAGAAAATGAAAGTGTTTCATAACATCAATCCTGTACTGTACAAGGAAAATAAGATCCGTGTACAGTATTACTTAATTAAATTGTAGAACAATACAAAAATATATAACACAAAATATAAATACATAAAATAGAACGTCAATAACGTCTCCTGTGGGGCCATCCATAAATGACGTCACGCGTTTTTTGACGATTTTTGAGCCCCCCCCCCATTGTCACACGGCGTCACAAAAAGTGAGACCCCCCCTCAAATATGACGTCACAAAGCGCTGCCCCCCCCCCCCCCCAAAATAGAAAACATGCTTCAAATCGCTTTAAACTATTGTCATTGTAGTGCGTATTTAATGTGCCGCTGCACTCTGATGTTGTAGGAGAAAACATTTATTAAAAAGTATATTTAATTAAGTTGAACGTGTTGTCTATATTTATTTAAAGTTGCGCATTTTGATGTGACGTCACATTTCTCACCCCCCCCCCCCTCGTCACACATCGTCACAAATGCCTGACCCCCCCCTCCCCCAGGTGCGTGACGTCATTTATGGACGGCCCCTAATTAAATTGCATAACAATACAAAAAAATATAACACAAAATAGAAATACATCAAATAAAACGTCAATAAAGTCTCCTCTACATTTGGAAGTTGCATTTTCTTCAATGCAAAACGTCAGGGTGACGGCGCAGGGCAAGATGCGTGCGGGGAGCGGTGGCGCAGTGGTTAGCGTGCCCACGCGCTACGTTACCGGCCACTCGGAGGTTCGATCCCCACTCACGATGATCCGAACCGGTCCTGGATCTCCTCTAGATCGACCCCCATGCCCCCCCCCCCACACCTTCCCCGCCACCCTTGTTGAATCCTCCACCGGGGAAAGGCCTTCATCCAGCAGTGGATTGACAAAGGAATGACCGAAAAATGACCCCAAGACATATGCAGCCTAGCGGCTCCTTAGAAATAAACGAAAGGTTCTCCAATCGGAAGAAAGAAGCATCCGCAGCGATTGGTTCGGGAGGGCAGACTTTTAAAGGGATTTAAGAATAAGGGGGTTGAACGGGAACACAAAAAGGATTCGTTCAAGGGAAAGGACGGGGATTGGTTAGAGGTCAAAAAAACGAGAAGAAGGTTCGAGAAAGGGGGCTGAGGCTGAGATATAAGGAGAGGGCATGAGGAGTGGAGAGGCTCGAAGGAAGATACAAGCAGGAAGACAAGAACGAAGCCTAGGGTCCTTCATTGTGGAAGTCGTCAGTAGGGTTTTTTTTATTTTGTAAACTTTATAATTAAAAATAAATTGGCTCTTCTCATTTCTTTGTCGTCCGAGTCGTTACACACACGCGTCTATTGACGACTTCCTATTAGACCCGGTCTGCAATATTGATTCTCTGGAGCAAGGAATGGGGTGGGGGGATTTTGCACCACCGTGCAAGGTTGATGACTGCAATGCTGTGCGTGTGTTGCAGTGCCAGATTATCCCAGCAGCACAAGTAGCTACATAATGCTAGGGGCCCCGCACTTTCAAGGGCACCGCGCTAAATGCTTTCAAGCTATAAATTCCGGTTCAGTGATTCTGCACTTGCTCTATTGCTATAGTACTATACTGTCTTCAACTTTTATGAACGATTGGGTGTTTAAGGTTAGCGATTTTTCGTATTATCTGGCCGTATGGCAAATGAAAAAATACAAATACTTTACTATGCAAGTTTAAAAAATTGTGTTTTAATATTTACGTGTTTTTTAATTTAGGGACCCCTTTATAACATATGCTACATGCCCCGCACTTTCTTAATCCGGCACTGGTGTGTTGGCACTGTCAGTGACCCGGGGTTAGGTTTGTTCCCATTACGCCCTTGACACAGTGACGTTTAAAACCAAGCCGCGTTTACTTTTCCCCTCGAAAAATACCCAACGTGCTTCACCGAGCTGATAATGCGGCCCGAACAAATGGCAGAAAAACTTAGTCACCTTACCAACACCGCTTGATATCGGGCGTGGGAATTGAGATTGTTTTCCACCTGGTTAGTTCTAATCATTAAACACGACAAGTTGCGTTCTTGGGAAGGGCGGTGATACAACGGTTAGCACACCCGGGTTCGAGTCTCAACCGAAGCCAACATCAGTGGCGAGGGATGTCTAAGCCGGTCCCGTCTACCCAACCCACACTGACCAGTGCTGAGAATTATGGCCAAACAACCAATGCGGCATGGAAAGACAACTCATCCAGCAGCGGATTGTCAAAGGACTGTTAAGTCAATCGCTTGAGCTTTCCTGGCTGAAACGCCCATTGCATCGCCACACGTGGACAGAGGAGCACGTGAAGCAGAGAGCATGCACGGGTGGGGAACCTTTTTTCTGCCAAGGGCCATTTGGATATTTCTAACATCATTCGCGGGCCATACAAAATTATCAACTTAAAAATTTGCCTATTATATTTGGCCAAACATTTAATTAACTCACCCCTAATGTGATGGCTGGAACTGCTTCTCTTTGGCGAGGCGTGTGATGTTAGCTGGTACTGATGATGTTGCTTCTCGCAACTGCTTTTCCAGGTTTGCTCCTAGATTTATTGAATTTCGAGTCCCGCCTGCGGTTGCCTTGGCAGGGCCACACCAAATGATTTCGAGGGCCTCACACGGCCCGCGGGCCAGACGTTCCCCACCCCTGCTTTAAATCATCAGCCATATCGAGACACTGCTATATGGAGGTCTCACCAAGCCGTCGTGATCTGACACGGTCTGAGTGATTTAATGATTTTAAGAGGGAATGTTTATTGCTATGCTTGGGTAATATCACGTCCATCTATCCGTCTGTCAGAAATGTAAATATACTGGCCTTCCGGCGTGGAAACGTGTTGTTTATATATATTTTTAAACATATACAAAGTCCTGAAGTCAACCATTTAGCACACACATTACCAATGTAAAAGATTAATTAAATACCTTTCAAGTTGTATATATACTCCTTGGTTCTTTCGGTAAAGTCACGTAGGTAGAAAAATAATAGTTCACGTTTCGATAGCAACACAAGCCATCGTCCTCAGGTGAAACAATACAGCATGCGGACTGCTGGTGGAATATTTTCTTGCCTCAGCAAGAGAATTGCATTGTTTCACCTGAGGACGATGGCTTGTGTTGCTATCGAAACGTCGTGAGCTATTATTTTTCTACCTACGTGACTTTACCGAAAGAACCAAGGAGTATGGTTTCCTGCAGTCACGAAAGCTTCAAATCAAGTTATATATTTATTTGTAAAGCATTAACCTGTGCAACATTGCAATTAGCAAACTCTCGTTAGAATTGTCTTTGGTTCTTTCGGTAGTCACGTAGGTATAAAATAAAATAAATCACTAGTTAGAATGTAAGCTGTGCG